ATTGATTAGTCAAAATTTAAGTTCATAATACTGCTTTTAATACATGTTATTAGTTAGTCCTACTAGATATATTGATTTTTTAGTCTACCCAATAAACAATTTTATTTTGCACTTAAGAATATCATAGCTCCAACTTTCGATAGAATTTGTCGTTTTGTGTATAATAGCTTACCAAGTAATTATTTTGTATTGTTGGCACTACTTAATTTACGAACTGTTTTCAACAATATTTTATTTTTTCATTTCCAACCTAATATCTGCTCATAAAATATTTACTTCTTATTGATTTCCTTGCTTTTGTGACGTGTTTAGAAGTGTAAAAGCTGGAAGTGATATACGGTGGAATAAGATTCATCTTTGTTCATTTCTATTTGACAGTGTAGAAAAGAATTCGATCTTTTATGAGGTTAATCAAAGACTATTAAAAAATTATATATCACATCAAAAACTAATTAACATAAATTAAAATACACCTAATATCAAATTACTCTAAAAAAACCATGGGAAATTCGTTATAATTTCGCATTTAAACAAGTCAGTTGCGAGACTGACAATAAGTAAACTAAAGACATTTGATTTTAGAATGACCTAAGGTTAATGAACAACCAATGCTTTCTCTCCTTGAAAAAATAGCTCCTCCTCAACTTACTTACGCCTGTTACTCCCAATGGAGCATAGGCCGCCGACCAGCGTTCTCCAACCTACTCTGTCCTGGGCCTTCTTTTCTAGTTCCATCCAATTCTTGTTCATTTTTCTCATGTCTATCTCCATTTCCCGGCGTAATGTGTTCTTTCATCTTCCTCTTTTCCTTTGGCCTTGTGGATTCCATGTGAGGGCTTGTCTTGTGACGCAGTTGGGTGCTTTCCACAATGTGTGTCCTATCCACTCCTAGCGCTTCTTCCTGATTTCTTCCTCCGCTGGGATCTGGTTTGTTCTCTCCCACAGTAGGTTATTGCTAATAGTGTCCGGCCAATGGATCTGAAGTATTTTGCGTAGACAATTGTTAATAAACACCTGTATCTTCTAGATGATAGCTTTCCTAGTTCTCCAGGTTTCCGCCTCATACAGTAGAACTGCCTTGACGTTTGTATTGAAAATCCTGACCTTGGTGTTGGTTGAGAGTTGTTTTGAGTTCCAGATGTTCTTCAGTTGTAAATATGCTGCTCTTGCTTTTCCGATCCGCGCCTTCACATCTGCATCAGATCCATCGTGTTCATCAATGATGCTGCCCAGATATGTAAAGGTCTTTACATCTTCCAAATCTCCGTCCATTGTGATTGAATTGGTGCATGCTGTATTGTATCCTGCTTTTCCCTTTGTGTATATTGAGACCTACTGCTGTTGAGGCTGCTGCCACACTGTTCGTCTTCTCCTGCATTTATTGTTGCGTTTGGGAAAGAAGGGCCAGATCATCTGCGAAGTCTATATCGTCCAACTGCATCTTAGATATCCATTGTATCCCACGTTTCCCTTCATATGTTGACGTCTTCATGATCCAGTCGATCACCAGGATAAAGAGAAAGGGTGAGAGTAAGCAACCTTGCCTAACACCGGTCTTCACTTCGAACGACTTTGTCAACTGTCCTCCATGCACGATTTTGCAGTGTAATCCATCATATGAACTCTGTATGATATTGACTGTCTTCTGAGGCACGCCGTAGTGTCGAAGAAGTTTCCATAGTGTTGTTCTGTCCACGCTATCAAATGCCTTTTCGTAGTCAATGAAGTTGATGTAGAGTGATGAATTCCATTCAACTGATTGTTCCACAATGACCGGCAGTAGCCCCTAGAGGGACTTCAGGCGTAGTTTCCGCCTCAACACCACTAAATAAAAAAATTACTGATATCAGTCACTAACAGATCTAGCGTAACACACGAGAACACCATACACATATGCAATTAATTCCTGAGATAAAATTAATGACAGCTTAAGAACAACTAGAATGTTGCTCTTTGAATACTCTTACGGGGGTATTACACAAAAATGAGTAGCTTCAAGGATTCAGAAATCGAATTCTCTAGATAAACTGTCATTTAGTTAACTTCAAATTAAATACTAAGTTAGAAATGGCTCGTTTAACAACCGTACGTCGTAAGTGCCTCACAGAATATAATTATTGAAGGATTCTTTGGAGCCCACTCAAAACTCATCTGATGTAAGCAAATAAAAATGACTTCAAATACTGTTGTGGATGCGGAGGAATAGACCAATAATTATGATGTTAAGTCCAATGGTGTCCTTGGGCTTTAGATGGACATTTCCTATTGGTCGATACCTGTTCACTTGTTGAATATTGTACAAAATGTTGTTTTCTATTTTATGGTACGATGTGGTATGCTTGGTTAGTATATAAATAGAGTATGTTTGAAATATAATGATTCATATCTCAGAGGTTGTGACTTGTGTTCTGGATTCAACTAACTGGGCTAGACAGGGAAGTGGGACCAATCGAGACTCTAGGCCGTCCGTACGTGTTTACGTGTCATTGGATCGATCGATAAATACGCTGTTCTCTAATCTCTTCAGTCAAGGACACAACAATTAGCACAGGGTAAAAATCGACCGCAACCTAAAGCCATAACAAATACGTGCTCTCCAAATATCTTATCCAAATTCTTGAATCTTTTATTATTCACCTCAGTCTCTCGTGACAGACTAGCGAATGGAACGTATTAATAAAGAATTACATAATTAAATTCTGGTAATAAATACAATAATTTTGAGTTTGGTTGATTGAATTCGCTACACAATTGATGACGATGATAAAATATAATTCATTAACTAACTTCCCTCACAAAACCTAACTAAATAACACAATTGTTAACGAAATAAAACATGTTAATCAGGAATGTATTTGGGAAGAATATATTTCAATTATTTATTATTGAGCAAACAAACTATGAGTGTAAAGTGAACAGATACGAAGCGGAGAGACGCTACCTCTCTATCAAAAATATAACTTTTTATAAGCGTTTATATAAACCTAAAAAGACTATGAATCACTGATAACTGTACAGACATATGCTCAAGTCAAGTGTGCATAAATATATTTGACAAGGACACAAACAAGAGGTAAAATAGTAAATACTTGGTGTCTGAATTTTTAATATCTACCCAAAAGTTCGGATACATTTACGCAAGCTTTATGTAGTCACTACAATACAATATGATTTTGAGCCACATCAGTCGTCTACAATCACTGATTATTATAGTCACGCAAACAATCAATACATAGTCTACACCTAACCACATGTCTCTTATGGTCTTTATATTTAACTCGATGGTTAAAGTTGAATAAACCCAGCAAGTTACTGAATTAACTAACATGCACAGTAATAACAAACAATGAAGTGTAATAGGACTGAACCGAAACGACTGGGCTGAAATAATAGTGCTGGATTAACACCAGTACTAGACATCCTTGTAGGTGATATGATGGAAAGAAAAGTCAGTTTTCAATTGATTTACACATTATGAGTTTTGTTCAACATTACTTCCGTTTTGGTTCAATGTAATGATTACTCAATGTAGTGTTTGTTTTCTTTTCTTGTATTATGTTTTATTCTGTATAATATACGATATTCTTTTATTCCATTGACATGCACTATGCTCAGTATGTGATTTGTTATAACTCTAAGTTATTTTAATATATGTGATTTCATCTTAATTATTAATCAAAATGGGTGTACAATCAATATATAGATGGGTGTATTTTCTACTAGAGTTGTCGTCGTCGTCATATTTTGGGTTTAATAAATCATCACTTATACCAGTCTTTGTGTTCTTACTTTCGCGTCGTGGGAATTGCAGAGGTCCCTCGTTCCGAGTATAAGTGATAAGCGTTTCGGACATAACAATCAGCGACGACCAGATACAAAAAGTAGCATTAAAAGAGCCACAACAATAAGCATTCAAACGACAAGTTATAACGGTAAGGTAATTGAATTTATAACAACAATGAAAGTAGAATCGGCATTAATTGTATCATGATCAAATATATCGGGGATTGGATTAGACAGGTCTTATCTGTATAGTACTTAAATGAGTCCAAAATGTCCAGTATACTTTAGTCAATGTGTGTCAAATATTTACAGGTCAGCATTATCATGGAATATGATTAACAGATAGATGGACGAACAACCAAAGTATGTAATAGGATATATATATTAATAGCACAAATTAACCAATGAAATAGAATTAGTGCATTTGAGTTACATGTTATCAGGTCATGTATTCTGGAATGCGTATCCACTTATGCAAATTCAACACGACTGTAATGAATACCATAATTGCTCAGTTAGACTGACAGTAACTTCACAGATTGGTGCCACTTCCTGATTTGGCTGTCGGCAGATTTCTCCCAGACTACTTTCCCAGTAAACATCGTGAACTGAGGTAGGTGGTGATTGGGGGTATGTACCACTACTTCGTCAACCTATTTGACATCTTTACCTTGTACCCTATGCTTCAATTCGGCATGGCTCGCTTGATGGCCCAAAAATACACGAGCAACAGTTAAAAGATACCTGTGGTTGAGTGCTAGTTAACCTATGAATATCTTATATATATAATCAATGAGCATTACAAGGAAGTATAAATTATCATCTGATTGTAAGTCCAGTTTTCTTAGGGATTTCTGACACATAACTTTGTTTGATAAAGTACATAGACGATGGATAGAGATGAAAAGATATTTTGGAACAAGCAGTGAGGCTATATAGCTAAGTAAAAGTTACCAACCACCACTGTCCTACTACTAATCAGTATCTCTGTACAATCACAAAAATACTTAAGGACGGATTCATCAGTTTGTTCTGCATTTATATGATCCCTCTCAATAATGTTTGCCTTTCTCTCGATGCTTTACAAAAATTATCACTAAAAGACTAGTGCAAACCACAGTTAATCAGGTTAATGCCTTATTTGCAGAATTTAAATTCACTTTCTGTAGTGAATCGCATCATGCAATCTAAATAAAGCAGAGTATAATTATTAGTTTTCATCATCTAATTTCAGGACAAAGTAAAAGGTGCAACTTGATGTTGGATAAATTGAATACATAAAGGAATCCTTCATGAAGACTTAACTAAAAAAACAAAACAATGACGTTGTTCTTACATCGTCTGAAATACATCAAAATATTTGCTAAATTGTAGCATAATCACACTTTATGGCAAGGACTTTAAATCAAAGATTAGATTCCTTCCGAAAACATTAGGTTACAGATTTTTGCAAACATAAGAAATGACTATTGTCCACGAGTTGTACATATTAGAAAGGGATAAGACGAAATGAAAACAAAGTTATTCAAGGAACGAGTAAACTTCTGTGTGGCTTAGCAATCAAGCGTTCAGCTGCGTACACTAAGCATCGAGCTAAATTCTTATGAGCTAAAAAATACAAGTTAAGCCAGCTAAAATAAAATGAAATTGACAGTAAAATTTCTCATTGCTAGTCGAAACAACTATAAGTACAATGACAATTAAACGAGTGACACATCTGCCTACCATTTTAAGAATTTGATAAGATTAACGGGAGCTGTAAGACGAAAGGTTTGAAAACTTACTACCTTAATTCCTACATTAGAGATAGAGTCAATGCCATGTTCATGCTATCACGACTAATTGTTTAAATGAGTATCAGGTCGGAGTATTAAAGACAACTTTCCATGAGCAACACATAATTAAAGTTTTCATTTCCTTAGTATTTGACAAGAATGTCAAATTTCGAAAAAAAGGCTGGTATTTTTTCCAGATTGTGAACTAATATCGCTAAGCGCTGTAATTAGCGATCTTCTTTGGAAATTCCCGATTACATTTAAAACTAATGACTGAGATATAAACCAAATAATTATCTTCAATGAACTCAAACAATTCAGTAATATTACTTTAGGACAGTTGGTAGACAATAGATAATGAAATGACAAAAATACATACTTTTCACTAATTTAGAACATTTTCTTTAATAAAGCGAATGACTCAAGAACCATTATTCACCAAAAACAAAAATGGTTCATTATAAACACATAAAGTAATATCGGAGCAATAAATAACAAACAGAAACATTTTCGTAAGTACGAACACAGAATAAAAGATTTTTTGTGCAATAACCAACTAATGTTTAAAATATTATTCTTGATATATGTAATCTGAAATATAATATCTGGACATACTTATTATCAAAAGACCAAATGTAAAAATATTATCACTTTACAGCCTGATTCAAAATAACCTAAATAATAATGCCACAACGAAACAATCGGAACGTAGAGAACGGAAGATTAAAATGCAAGAAAAACCACATACTAAACAAAGCGTTATAGATCTAAAATCACTTTAGTGAACTGCTTACAGAAGAAGGGGAACTATTTTGTTTATTATTTTGGTCAGTCATCGCTTTCATGGCGGGCGCGAATGGGGGAGCTAAAAATGCTGACGGGAAACTCATTTGCACTGGAGGAAATCCTGGCAAAAGAGGCCTTGTTGGTGTTGGTATGACATCTCTTTGAAATCCACCTGAAAAAGGCATTGTTCCTCGGGGTGGTGTTGGGATGAATGGGAATGGATTAGCTTCTGCTACTGGCCGTTGCGATGTTAAATTTGTTAGAGAATTTCTTGATTGAGAGCGTACATCTCTTAAACTTGGATTTTTCATAAATTCTAGTGGTAAAATAGGTCTTGTGAAAATGTTCATAATTTTCTCACGAGATGAACTATTTATTTTTTCCGGGATGGTGCGCATTGACGATCGTAATGCATTGTTCTCTGATTCAATGAGCTTTTGTCGCAAACTGAAGTTTTCTTCACGTAGATCTTGAATTTGGTGGTCAGACGCACGAGCTGCTAACCAATTTTCATGAGAACGCTTATCTAACTCCGATATTTGACGCCTACTAGTTCTTTCAGTTTCCACTAGCTCTCGACGTAAAGCTGCCATTTGATCTCGTAATACTTTAACTTCCCCCTCAAGCTCTTGATTACGCTTTCGACTGTGCATAAGGGCTTCGGAAGATTCTGAACCAACTACGACATGCTTACCTAAATCCCTTTGCAGTTCAAGTTCACGTTCTTTAAAATAACAGGATAAAATATCAAGCTTTGTTTGATAAGCATTTCTTTCTTGTTCAATATGAATTAAATTAGCTTTAAGAGTTGAATTCTCTCTTTCTATCTCTTCCATTTTGGATTCAACTTCAACTCGAAGATCATGTTCATTTTTTGCTTTAGACTCTTCAGCTTTAATTTGTTCATCTTTAAGTCTGATTTGAGCATGCAAACGACCAACATCTAAGAGCAATGATAAATTCTTCTGTAATCTAGATTTTTCTGTAGTCTTTTCATCGACTTCAATTAAATCACACAAAGCACTTTCGGAAATAATGCTTGACTTATCGCTAATCTCCACGTCATCCTCTAACGTGCGACTAACATTAGAGAGGTTGTCAGTGGTGGTTACTTCACGTTCTTCCATATCATTTGTTTCCTGTTTTGAGGAAGATTCCTGTTCAAAAATCACCTGAAGACCTTTAAGCGTATTAAAAGTAGCAAGCAAACTTTGAAATTCTGCTTCTTTAATCAGTAACTTTTCCTCAGATGCTTTTCTAGATTCTAAAATTTTGTCGACCTCTGATTGCATCGTCTTCATGCGATTATAATATAAATTAGCTTGAGAATATAACTGTTCTTGTTCCTCTTTCAATTCTTCTATTGACTTACGGTTACTTTCTTCTAGATCTAAAAGACTTTTCTTCCATTTATCATCATTTTCAGAGTGTAATTGTTTCAGACGATTAATTTCTGAATTTAATTCATGAATGACTTCTTCTTTATCAGTTAACTTCAAACGTAAGTTTTGTTCCAGTGAATTATGAGTATTTTTTAAATGATTCAACTCCGATTGAGCACGTATGAAAGATTCCCGAGAATCATCCATAGATAATGTCATTTCAGATAATTTGGAAGTATATTCTTCCTGTAGATTTTGAAGACTGCATGAAAGTGAATTAGCCCATTTAGATAAATGAGAATTAGATTCTTCCGTATCTGAAAGTTGGCTAGCTAGTTGAATGCTATACTCCTCAAGTTTTAGATATTCTACGAGAGATGGAGATGTGCATTTTTCAGAAAAAATGTATTTAGATAGAAGGAAATGTACGCCCTTACTTAGATTCCACATAAAAATTAAGTGAAATATAAAAATCATCCAAGCAATAATGAAATTTACTGATAAAGAAAATGTTTCAAGCAAAAAATTATCTAAGTTGGAAATAATGTTTTCTGGTAAATACTGCAGAGAAACGTTAGCAGCTGCAAAAAAGTACCTAAATCCATTGACTAAGAAGCGCGAAAAAGGTGATCTAACAGTTTTAGAATACGTTTTATCAAAGCTAGCGTTTGCTGCCCAGTATATACATTGTATCAAACCTAAGTGAACGGGAACACTGTGATGATTGAAAATAATTTGATCCTCAGACACTTTTCGTGAAACGGATGAAAGAATAGAGCTATTTACATCTGAAGAATAAATTATTCCAATATCTTGAACACCGATGAGATCACTGGTGATGACTCCTTGTTTACGATCATGCAATGAAAAATGTGAATTTGACATATTAGATTCTATATGACTATCATTGTCCAAAATGTCGCTTGACGAGATGGAATATGAAACTTGTGAAACATCCACATTTGACTCCTTATCAGTATCAGGTGAGACAGTCGGTGGTCGTAACGGTACATGGGTTTCCACATGTTCGGTTCCAGACACCTTCATTTCAACGTGATGTGACTGAACAGATGACGGTTGTTGATTCACAGAAACAGGTTCACCCTGTTCAGATCTACTCGAAACATCCTCCTTCGACTCCTTACCAGTATCAGGTGAGACAGTCGGTGGTCGTAACGGTACATGGGTTTCCACATGTTCGGTTCCAGACACCTTCATTTCAACGTGATGTGACTGAACAGATGACGGTTGTTGATTCACAGAAACAGGTTCACCCTGTTCAGATCTACTCGAAACATCCTCCTTCGACTCCTTACCAGTATCAGGTGAGACAGTCGGTGGTCGTATCGGTACATGGGTTTCCACATGTTCGGTTCCAGACACCTTCATTTCAACGTGATGTGACTGAACAGATGACGGTTGTTGATTCACAGAAACAGGTTCACCCTGTTCAGATCTACTCGAAACATCCTCCTTCGACTCCTTACCAGTATCAGGTGAGACAGTCGGTGGTCGTATCGGTACATGGGTTTCCACATGTTCGGTTCCAGACACCTTCATTTCAACGTGATGTGACTGAACAGATGACGGTTGTTGATTCACAGAAACAGGTTCACCCTGTTCAGATCTACTCGAAACATCCTCCTTCGACTCCTTACCAGTATCAGGTGAGACAGTCGGTGGTCGTATCGGTACATGGGTTTCCACATGTTCGGTTCCAGACACCTTCATTTCAACGTGATGTGACTGAACAGATGACGGTTGTTGATTCACAGAAACAGGTTCACCCTGTTCAGATCTACTCGAAACATCCTCCTTCGACTCCTTACCAGTATCAGGTGAGACAGTCGGTGGTCGTATCGGTACATGGGTTTCCACATGTTCGGTTCCAGACACCTTCATTTCAACGTGATGTGACTGAACAGATGACGGTTGTTGATTCACAGAAACAGGTTCACCCTGTTCAGATCTACTCGAAACATCCTCCTTCGACTCCTTACCAGTATCAGGTGAGACAGTCGGTGGTCGTATCGGTACATGGGTTTCCACATGTTCGGTTCCAGACACCTTCATTTCAACGTGATGTGACTGAACAGATGACGGTTGTTGATTCACAGAAACAGGTTCACCCTGTTCAGATCTACTCGAAACATCCTCCTTCGACTCCTTACCAGTATCAGGTGAGACAGTCGGTGGTCGTATCGGTACATGGGTTTCCACATGTTCGGTTCCAGACACCTTCATTTCAACGTGATGTGACTGAACAGATGACGGTTGTTGATTCACAGAAACAGGTTCACCCTGTTCAGATCTACTCGAAACATCCTCCTTCGACTCCTTACCAGTATCAGGTGAGACAGTCGGTGGTCGTATCGGTACATGGGTTTCCACATGTTCGGTTCCAGACGCCTTCATTTCAACGTGATGTGACTGAACAGATGACGGTTGTTGATTCACAGAAGCCGGTTCACCGGGTGATTCGGATGGATAGTCAGTGGTATCCGTGTCACCATGTTTTATTTCGGATGAATTGTTATAGTCAAACTCATTGTCGTCATTATCTTCCTCAATTTTGTCATCTTGTTCCACTTCATCAGAATCTATCTTGTATGTAGTTTCTTGTTTGCTCACCTGATCATAACTTCTGCTACTAACCACGTCCATTTCATCAATTTCATTCGTCCTTTCTCTAGTATCATAAGCATTACTCTGTCTTTGATTGCGGAAACTTGTTTGCTTGTTATCTGGATGATCTTTCTCAGATATTTTCTCTGTGGATTTGTAATTCAAATCTTCATCCGATGGTAGTTGGTAATGTGACACTAGATTAAGTGTTCTTTCATCTAATAGAGTCGAAGGATTCAAATTTATATCGAAGTTTTTCACCTTTAAAAATTTGCGTGAACTAACAGAATCCTTAATTTGTACAAAACTTGGGTCGATGTATAAATGTTCTTCGCCGAATTTTATTTTCATCATAGAATTAGTAGCATCAGCGCTTAATCCTATTATGTCCACTAAGGTATTCACTTTTAATGTTTTCTTATTCGGTACATTAACATCTTTGATAAGACTTCCAGTAGTTATGGTTTTCAAACAATTTATGTCTGAACACAGAAGTTCAGCTGGTAAATGTTGTTTAATTATTGCTTCACTGTGACAGAGTAACGCCCCAAATCCAATGAGTAAGAAAGCCAAGTAGATTTTCATCCTAAAAGCCGAAAAACACTTATTAATCAAAAAAGACGGTGACATTTAAAAATGGGAAACACCACATCATGACATACTACATATAATGGGTTAAACTAGTTTACTAAGCTAGTCAACTGTTGACGTGACGGGTAAGAATTAGGCCTAACAATCAGGTCTTAATTGGTTGCAAAATTAGTGATTTACAAACTGATTTTTCCAACCACCTATGATAACACTTTTGTTTGTGTGATTATGTTGTACATAAGCATGTCATTTTATTATATGAAAAATCTATTCTTCTGGCTAATGGTCATGCTTTTTTTTATTTCAAATTATACAAAAGCTTAAGCCAATAATGTGGTCTCGCGAATAACCACCAATCGACCATACTTTGTATCACTGCATTTCATTTATTGATCAAGATTCTGATCAATGACTTTGATAAACAAAAGATCGTCTATCAAACCAGTAAAATCCTTCTCCATAACAGCTGTGTTAAATTGAGCGTCCGAATTCCGGTTCTAATGAATCCCAATTTCAGTCCAATGGCTAATTTGGCAACACATAGGGTATCCGAAGTCCGGTCTTAATATTTTTTCTACATAGTGACTTTGCAGCAAAGTTCTTTCTTAAGAGGTCGAGTTGTAAGACATAATACCCCAACCTACCATCTTTACTCAGGCTTAGGACTAGCAACATCAGCAAATCGGGCCTCATGTTGGTTTCATAACTATAAAAACAGATTAGAGTATAAATAACCCCTATTGAAAACCAAGTAATACAATTTACAAAAATGAAGGACCACAAATACCAAACAACACTCACACTGAAATATACCGAATCTGTTAACAATAAGCAGTGTAATGGGCATTTAAAAAACACATTAGTCAAAACATTCATAACACAAATAGCACCAAAAATCTTTGGTTGATTGTCTTTAGTCCCTAAATACCTACAACAAGCAATAACAACCAATTTTAATACAAGAATGTTCACAAACACAGACGATATTTTGATGAGAATATTTTTTTGTATAAAGCTGTAAAATTACCACTATTAAGGTTGATTTGAAATTATAACGAATTTAAGCAAGATACAATGAAATTATCTAAAAGGCAGTGGAGAACGTACGAAGATAATTTTGTGAGAAAGTAACAAAAACAGACAGAACTTAGTGTCAGCCTTTCAGGGCAATGATAATTGAGCTACAGACTTCGCACGAGAAAATCGGGGGTCGAGCAACTTTTTATTATTTTGAGGGGAGTTAAGTAACAAACCTAACGTAGGTGGGTAAAATTAAAACGATGTAGAAAACGAAGGGATTTAAGTAAGAAAAATATCTGTTCCTTGGCGAGCCTAGTCGCCAATCCATCATCCAATGGGCAATAAAACAATAATAAACACTTAAATAACAGGACAAATTGTTTTGTCACAAGTTGGTTAAACATTCTGAATACTGATAGGCTCCCCAGGGGAAATCACTAAGTCATAAAAAAAGAATAGCTATTGTATGTATCAATAAATTGCAAGACCTCGAGTCAAATATTACCTGTACAAAAAGCACTTGATTTACACCATAAGTTAAACCACCGGTGCTTCAAAACTGTTCCAAAGTATAAAGGAATGTCTTCAAAGTTAGGGACAGGAGGTTAATCCTCGTGACTTCCAGTACTGTGAAGACCCAATCTCTTTAGACGTATGAACAGATGCTGATACTACGTATTCGGGTAGACAATTACAGCAATTTACAACTCAGTGAACGAAACGGAATTCCAGATGTAACCGGTTTGATCTCGCTTTTTGACCCTTCTAAAAATATCCTCTCAGATGATCAGTCCTGTGTTTGATAAAAAGATAAGACATTGATACAAAAATCATCATTTAGTGCACGGGAAACGGAACTAGGATAGAGCATTTCAGTTAACCTTTATAAGGCAGGCTAGAATAACCTTTCCAGATTTATGTTTCAAGCTGTTGAACCCTTTCAATTATATCTAGTTTGTATATGAAACAAGATTTTGTTTCGCGGATCGCATGTTCTAGATGCGGTCCCATATACGCCAAATATAATATTCTGAACACTTCATTTGAATTGCAAAATGACTCAAGACTGGTAAGCCTTTGGAGGAGGCCACCTCATAATTACCGGGCAATCTACGGCCATTACTATGACTTAAATCATCATGACCAATAACTTCAAATAAAGCAATCTAATTTACTGTGAAGTCATGTAAATTCTCGCGGACTGACTTGTATTACCACACTCTTGCTAAAACTTACTCCTAACCCCACCGTCCATATATTTCCATGATGATAGTATACTGTTTACCCTTACTTGTTGTTTCTTATTACTGAGGAAGTCAATTATCCAATCTCTAACTTCATAACTGATTCTGAAATCCTCTAGCCTATGAAAACTACATCTACTGAGATGCTACAGAATTTTGCTGCGGTTCACTCTTTCTTCCAATAACGGCATTAGCCAAACATGAAAGATCTGCTCCAAAACCATGTTATTTCTTCGTTAAACGATTATTCCCATCTGCATGACGTAGAACATCAGGCTGAATAATCAATTTTACTATGTTTTTAATTGAGGTTATCGAGCAATAGCTAGTAATCAAATGTTTATTTCCAGCCTTATAGGCCGAAATAATTATTGCATTCTTCCAGTTTCGACAATTTAACTACTTCATAAACATGCAGATCAGCCTTGTTAATACATCAGAAACCATATTACTGCAGAGCTCCCATGATTTAAAGATGGATATTATCGAGACCACAGGACTTATCTGTTTAAGAGATAGTTGTCGAAGGATAACTCTCTTTTCCATCCACAAAACGCCACTGTTCAGGTTGGTAATTGATCTCTTACTATCATTGGGAGGAAATACTTTACTTATTTTGACAAGGTTCCACCTTTGGCAACACCATTACTTGACTATGTCAGTGGATCTTCCCATAACAGAAGTGGCAGGATTCCGTCACTTTTCTGAGTTTGTCTCTGTGTACGAGCACAACTTTTGGGACTAATTTTAGAACCTCAAATCAGTTGTTTCTCGAACGATAATCCAGCTTTACTTATTAACGCTTTGTATATGTTTATAGTTTCACAGTAGGTGAATACTAACTAACCAGATCCTGATTTCATTTATTTAAACACATAAACACTGGTACAAGGAGGCGTCGAATACATATGCGACACATTTCGCCATTCGACTTGTGTGAGGGCTGGAATACTATCCGGGCGTCCGGAACAAAACAAGTGGTTTTCTTAGGGAGCCACTCCCCGAGCTTTTGACCTAGAGGTCTAATCCACAAGGCAGTAGAGCAACGTTAGATGATGCAATCCCATGGTGGCCGATGACCAACAATAGGTTCATACACCATTTGTTCCTTCAGAATTCTGGAGCCCATAGGCACTACTTTTTTAAAATCAGGGTTTTATAACTCCCCTAATTGAATCACCTGTGTCCACCAACCCGGTTAAAACACCGGACATTCCTTTTTCGTCCCCTCAATTTCGTAAACAACACCCCCGTCGCGAAAAGGCAATGGTTGTATACGCACGACCATATGAAGGCGTTTCGAGAGGGAGATCTGACTCACCACACTCTCGGACGTACCAAGGTATTTGGGGGCATATCCCGATGTCCCTTCCTACGTCTGGGTTTATTGACCCCCTTAGTTATTCATAGTGGATAAGTGTTAGATCTGTGTAGTTTTAAGCATGGTATGCCTGGAGAAGTGTACCTGTAAGCATAAACCATGACTCAAATTGACGAGCTAGTAATAACCGACTATTCCGCCACAGCAGGTGCATCCACTCTTTGTGTTCTCCCAAATTTTGATCTCCTTATTCCTCCTTGTCTCTTTTTTTCTCCTCTCAAATTTATTTCACTGTATTATACTCTTTAAGTAACATCTCCAAACACTAATCTTCCCGATTACTGCTTATACTCTTATTACCTCTACCACTACGGGATTTGAAGCGACCACTGCATCTGTGCTAATGTGGTGTGGCAACTCGAACTGATGTACGTACGTACGAAGTTCTACGTTGTTACTGACTGACTGACTGATTCCGCCACAGCACACTCCTTGATGGCCGAAATGTTTGCTCTCTACAGATTTGAGAGAGGACGAACCTGGTTATAGATTGTTATAAGTTATGAACCCGAATGATTAAAAATCATGATCTTAATTAACCAACGGTGGGAAAGTATCTAGACATGTAATATCCTCCGTTTCATGAGTGATTACTAGATCCAACAAAGAAAATCCTTGGTTTGAACAAAAATGTGTGGGTTTGGATACATGCTGCACTACAGCATTCTCTAAGACAGTCATATGGAGCCTGTCATCAAATATATTGTCAGATTTTACAGCGGATGCTTCTTTCAATTTATATCAAGTACACTGAAGCCTAATATCAGGCGCCGGTTATTTTTACTGAACGAATTCATGTGTTCTAAAATGAAATCATCGACTGAGCAGATTGGACTAATTTAGATAGCACGAAGTATAAATCTACAACATTCGAAAGTTCACACCTAATGACTTTTCATGTCTTGCTTTCATGAGGCTCACAAATGAACGAACGTGTACGCATATTGTTCCAAATGTATATAAAGACTATCCTCTTTCCGGTGTACCCGATAGCTCTGGAGTGATGTCAGAGTCATAAACTGTTATGAGTGACTTTGATTTGTCCACTGACACCCATAACTCTTGAGATTTGTTTTAGAAACTACGAACATTGGTGTGTAAATGTCCCAAATGAGACGACCTATCATGAGAGATCATGGTAGTTTTCGCTTACAATACCTGACTACTTGAAAACCCCGGTCAAGAGTTTTCTTCACTCTTCTTTTTTTAGTTCAGCTACAAGTCTTTCTCTTGATCCCATTTCCATACGATAATTCAAATCTTGTGTGAATGCCAGAATAACCTTGCTTTAGAGCACCGGTTAGCAAAATTTCTTTGCTTCCAACTATAATTATTTTAAGGAGTCTACACGGTATTCCCACTAATCATCTCGCCTACTTTTACAGATTTGTCAACATGAATTGTCGTTGAAATATCCGACAGTTTGTTACGGACAAATATCCAGACCTCATTTTAGCCATCCCCATGCCTGACTTGAGAGTAAGAATATCCAATTGATGGAAATTTTTCATAATATTGAAACCAGTTCAATCATTCCTTTGCACTAAGTCTGTTCATAGTCATACTATGGGGTTTCGTAAAGGCATTCCGCGATCCGCAATGGGAACTTCCCAAATACCTACCACCTAAAGGTGAAGCATTCGTGAAATTTATCTCTCTATTTAGTTGCCACGATTCTGATTTTCATCTTTTTTACTTGGAACCTTCGTATCATGATGCTAGGGATGTCAAACAACCAAACATAACATTTAAGATAGTGTGAGAT